ATCGGAGCGCCAGCGCCGCCGCATCCAAACCTTAGTGTAAACAGTCCGGTACCGGGGCGTGGAAGGAATCCGCACGCCGCCGCGAACAGCCGCACGCAGTTCACCAGCGTACCGGAAAGTACCGAGCGTCAAGCTTCTTTTTCGTCTCTCAAGCCCCGTTGCGCACAGTCCTCCCACCTGTGTGACAGAAACGCGAAGGAAGAAGCCGTACTTGAGAATCCACTGTTACCACCGGGTAACGTGAGCAGAACATAGCTTTGGCCGGACGACAACGCTAGAAGTTGATCTTCATTCACCGAAGCATTCCCGATTTCAAGGAGAAGCATTCGAGAACCGACGATTGCGAACCTGCGAGCCAACTCTGCCTTCGCGTCGTGCTTCCATCAACGCCACCCTCCTCTGTATTTCTCGGGTCTCATTGCGTCATTTCAGCGCCCCAACGCCAGCCAGAAAGCGACTCCCCTCTCCAACACCTTGACGCCACCGCCTCGCACCTGGAGCACCTCACCTCCTCCTGCAAGGCTTATCATCGTCGGGCTGTCCACGCATATCCCGCGCATTACGCCCCCCGACAACCTCAGACAGACCCACACTCACACGCCCCTGCTGTATAAGGCTTGAGCAGTGGTCCACCTCATTGTCCGCCTTCAACTTAGCCGACGACGTCCGAAGAGTCGTCCCCCGTCTTCTCGCAAGGCCTGAAGACTTCGCAAGTCTTCTAGGTCCGCGCCGGTTCCCTGCTCGATCGATCGAGCAGCTGACCTGTCCACCTGCTCACGTCGGAACAATCCCCTTCACACCGGGTTCGCACTCCAGTGCACCGCTGCGCACATCCCTCGTTCCCATACACGGCAAACAAGCGTCACACGAAGCGTCGCCAGCAAGTGTGCCCCAACGGTCCGACAACGTACCCCACATTCCCGACCTGCTGGGTGCTATTCCTTCTTTCACTTCGCAGTGACCGCCAGTCGACCCGGGCGACCCCCAGTGGCACGTCCGACGCAACGCCAACGACTAGTTCCGAAACCTGCAAAACCTCTCGGCCTGGCGCCGTGACACACACCGCACACCGTGCCTCTGGACAAACAGCTTACGCACCTGCTGCTGCCAGCTGCCAAGTGGTGCCATTATCCGGCTCTGGCTCTTCGGAAACTCACAACTTCTGGTCGCTTTCGCTTTTTCCGTTGACCGGCTCGCCGACTCGCCGAATCTTTACACCGAACAGCCTCGAGCTTCCCTCGACATCGCCCTCGCGGTGAATTCTGTGATTGCACTGTGCTGATCGTCGGCACGAAAGACATATAACAGAGCCCGTGGGCCCGTTCGTCTTTCCCCTTCGTCCCATCACCGACTCATCGCCACCCGCCTCGAGTCGGCCATCCACCCCCTTCCATCACTTCTCTCCATCATCGCCTTCCGACTTCGAATCTCCGGTCCAGACCCTCGTCGAGACCCAACGATCGACATCCTCTCCTTGTTGCTCGTGCACTGCCATTGAGTGGTGGTGTTGAAACGTGTGACTATCGCCCCTCGTCCGTCATCATTGATTCCCCCCCCCCCC